TCCCCCAGCACCACATGCCAGCCAGCCCTGCCCCCTGGTGGGCTGAGCTGGCCACACACACACACACACACACACACACACACACAAATAAAAATTAAAAAAAAAAAGAATCAATCGAAGAGTTGTTTGAAAAGTTAAATAAAATAGCAAACCCTTAACCAATCTTAACAAAAAGGAAAGATGCAAAGCCATATAATTAGGAATGAAGAGTGAAATCAAAATGGGTCCTGCCGAAGTCCAGAAGATCATCAGTATCTACTCAAGAGCCTGTATTCTACTAAGGTGAAAAGCACAGAAGAAATGGACAGATTCGTAGGTACAGAGGAATTACCAAAGCTGAGTCAAGCAGATACAAAAATTCTAACTAACCCAGTAGCAGTCAATGAAATGGAAGATGTAGTTGAAAGCTTCCTGGGCCGGTCAGATAACTCAGCAGATGAAAGCGTCTGCTCAGGCAGATGCAGGGACTGGGATTCTATCCCTGGCCTGCCATACCAGCCCTGCCCCCAGGGCACAGTGAGAAATCATTGAGGCTGGGCGTGGTGGCACATACCTGTAATCCCAGAGCTTGGGAACCTGAAAACAGGAGGATCACCATGAGTCTGATCTGTATAGTGAGACCCTGTAGACCCTGCACTAAATACAAAAAACTCATTTGAGTTTGAGGTCAACACGGGCTACACAGTAAGGTCAAGCCCAGGCTGAACTATATAGTGAAACTCTGTCTCACCAAAACAAAAACAAAGCTGCAGCACAAATAGAACTGAGGACCAAGGACACTGGGGACCCAAGTCAACAGCAATGTACAGATACCCAGGCATGGTGGTGTACTCAGGAGGCTAAGGCAGGAGTACTGCTGTTGAGTTCAAGGCGAGCCTCAACTACATGATGAGACCCTGTCTCAAACAACAACAACAAAGGTACGCCTGAATCAACCATGGGCTAAGAGGTCAGAGAAGAGGCTCCCAAACCTCTCAGGTCCTGATGCCAACTTTCCTCTGGGCAACTTCCATCTTCCTGAGGATCACTTCTTTGTCCTGGAGTTTGTTTTTCTGATGCCAAAAACAGTATAGCATAAGACTGAACTGGCTTAACTACCAATGTATGAAAGACTGGAGTTCACTTCTTGGTTCTGGTACATACACCAGTGCTCCTGTAACTGGGTAAGAAAGCTGAGCCTGCACTTTTGTGACAGATGTTTTATTTATAGGGAATTAAAATCTTGGCATATACATGGTGCAAACATTATATATAATATGCTTCCCACGATAGAAGGTACACCTGTGAAGGGATGGGCAATAAACAGCCTTTTTAGTTCTGGTTGAAATAATCTTTGGATGCATTCAAATACTGGGCATTTAATATCCAAAAGGCTTTTAATAAACAAATTCAGAGTAAAATTGGTTGAAATGTGTATAATACAATTTACCTGTTACACAGCATTATCAATATACAATCCAGATGATGCATGACACTTGAAGAAAGAAGGGGAAACTCTATTGCACCCACAAGTAAAAAGGCTTTATTCATTTCTGGGACACCGCAATTCAGTATTTATATAAACATTTACACACTGTAGTAAACACAGAGTCTTATATGTAATGCAGCATTATGGGGTCAAAAAACCCTTCTAAGGAAGTCTCAAAATGAATACCAGGAGCCCTCGTGATGTCCCGCGTGCAGGCTGCTTTCCCCCTGCTACTCTACTCCTTCCATCGTTGCGGTCGGGCTCCTCCTTCCTCGCTCTGAGGACAGGGACTTCTCGGTGGACACAGCAGATGCTGCTCACCGGGACAGCAATGCGCTGCTCGCCTGCTCGGCGTCTTGTGGCTTCCAGATGGTGCCACTCCCCCTCAGTGCCCCGTTAAGTAATCCTGTGTGGAGTCGGAGGCAAACGAGTCCGCGTCCTCATTGTCGGAGTCGGCACTGCTGTCATCGGCAGCCGGCTCACCTGTGAGGGCGATGCGCGCGTAGTCATCAGTGTCGATGGACTTGCAGAAGTGGATGGCGTACTTGAGCTTCTCCTCTAGTACTTGCTTGCAGGAGTACCTGGGCAGCTTCAGCAGGAAGAAGCAGGTATAGGACTCAGGAAGGAAGTGGTCCGGAGGGTTGTATTTATCCAGTACCTATTGCCAGAGACACAACGTAATCAGAGTCTACATACAGGAATAGGGAAAAGTGCAAATCTGTTTCACTGCCTTCATAGACTCTGCATTTGCAGAAATATTATTGGCTATGAAGAACAAGATATCAGAAAACAGAATGTAGCCAATTTTGCAAATAAAAGAATAACCAATTCCTAGGACTTACTTGTAGTGAAAAATAGCAGTTGCTGACTTGATAGTGATTCTTTCTTACAGTCCTATGCGGAGGCCCAGTGGGTGGTAACACCGCCCCTCCCCAGCACAGGTGGGGTCCCATCCTGCTGCAGGCCCCGGCACAGGGTGGGGCAAAGCCCTCCAGGAGTCCACCTGCTTACATTTGGACTCTCCAGAGCAAGACACAAGGTGGCAACAAGAATCATGGGCAAATCTAGTAACCACCTGCTATTTGAGAAGAAAACTACACATGCCCCCAAAGATGCTCCTAAAAAAATGGAGACTTTTAAAACTGGACGGGTGCAGGGAGCCTGTGTGGGAAGACTGCGGAAGGAGACCAGGAAAGGGGGTCCTCTGCTGGCCCACCTCTAAGGCTGCCTGCTGCCAGGGCCTCAGCAGAGGGGACGTGCTAATTCAGTCCTCAGTGGCTGAAGGTGAGCTGGACTTGTTTCTAGCCACTGGACCACTAGGTAGGACCCAATGTAAAATCTTGTATTTTCAGCCCGCTGAAAAATCTCGTTCTTCTGTTAGTAACATACTTCGAGATTAGCTGGTGCAATCAGAGATTCAAACAAACCCTTGATATAATGTGTGCATTCAAATTCTAGAATATGCTGACATCACAGCAGCATGGCTGGCCATGGGGCACAGGTCTGTAACCCCAGCACATGGGAGGCTGAGGCGGGATGATTGCCAGGAGTTCAAGGCCATCTGGGCTACAGAGAGTTCAAGGACAGCATGCACTCTACAGTGAGACCCTGTCTCCACAAAACAAAAATAAAAACAAAACAGCAGTAAGCTCTGTGAAAGATCACTGTCCAAGATCTACGATGATGACATCTGAGCCTTCAAGCCAGAGAAGCTGGACGTTTGCCACCTCGTTTCCATGAAGAAACAAGAGGCTTGCTTTCGATCTCCTGCAGGTCACCTGCTGCTGGCCAAGAGCCCCCATAGGCCCAGGGAAGAACCCACCTGGATGACGAAGTCTCTGCCCCGGAAGTCAGCAATGGTCCTGGGCAGCCGCGTCCGGCCCCACACGAAGCGAAGGAAGAGGGAGCGCTCTGTGTTGGAGAAGGACTCCATCACCTCCCAGAACCACTGGATCAGCGACGCAGAAGGCTCGACTCCTTTGTACGTGGCCACCGACTTTAGCAGATGCAGGGGGATGTCTGGGCTGCCACACACCTGCAGAAGGACACTCTGTCAGGGCTGACTGGCATCTCTGGCACTCCTTATTCCTGTAAGAATCTACTGTGTTTTTCTCTAGAGGCTGCTTTGGGCTGAAAGAAGGCCCCCGCTGGACACAAACACAATCCCAAACTAGAACCTCATATATCCTGCGTGGAAAGAGACACACTTACTATGACTTCATTTAACACTACGGACACCTCAGACATTTAAACACAAGGATTTAACTAAGAAATTAACCAGTGATCCTGGTAAACATGCCACCATGCAAAGGGCACTTGCAGGGCAGCTTCACACAGAACACATACCATGGTCTCCAGTTCATATCCCGTGAACAAAGAAAGAAGGGGCACCGGCACCACGCGGGCCATGCCCTCCCGAACAGCAGCCACCTGTTCATCAAATTCACGGAGTCTGAAAGGAAACAGGAACATCTCACCGTTGTCCTTCGTGGCACCGACTGCTCTGCTCTCACAAAACCCAGCCCACCACACCACTGCCACCGGCAGCACAGCTGGGAATGACTGAGAGCAGCGTTTCAAGGCTTCAAGTGATGAAGACATGCACATGGAGCCCTGGCACAAGCAAGCTCCAAATGACCCCAAGTTTATCTATACACAGTGTAAGTTCAGTGACCCACAGTACACTCCCAGACACCATTCTCGACATCTTCAGGGAACCCAGGCCCAACTCCAGGCACTGGGCACCCTCAGGGTCCACACTGCTCCTGGCACTTGGGATTGCACTTAAGGCTCCAAGGCAAACAGAGCACCGGCCTGGACACCCCAAGCACAGTGCTGCGAGAACAGCCACCTGGCATGCACGGCCTGCACGAGGCACCTGCAAGCATCTGACAGCACAGCCGGGAGCAGAAGCGGCAGGATGTCTTGCCATGTCCCGCCTGAGCTGCAATCAAGACATGCACAGACCCACACACCCTGTCCCTGCAGCACTGGAAAAGCACGCATAGGGACACACAACTCCTACAGGCAATCTGCCAACGAGTGTGCTTACATCAGTATCCTACTTGTGACCAGAACACTTCAACTAGAATTGCATTACTTTGACTCCTATTTTGTGACCACAGTCAGCAAAAGGCAAAGGCAAATCTAATAGCATTTTGCTATATATAACACTTCTTTAAAAACGCAGACATCCAAGCATCCACTTTCTGCAATGTCTGCTAATTAGTAAACCAAAGCAGTCAAGGAGATGACCACAAACCTGTAGTTTATTGCCAGCCGGACATACTCTGCGCGATTGTCCAGGGTGATGTGTGTGTACTTAGAGCTCAGCTGGATGTCCTGGCCACTAGCACTTGGCACTGTGAAGGGCAGGCTCATGGCCTCGAACTCCTCTGAGGTGGCTTCATTGTCACGGATGTACATGAGCCCAGGAATGAAATCTTTATCAACCTTCAAGGAGAAAGAATTCATGTGAATCCAGGTCTTCCTGTGCCTTGGACCACAGGCCAGCCCAACCCCAGGCAATCATGGTAGGCCTTGTCTGCCTCAGGGTGCACTTGAAGGACGCAAGTGTGTGGCACAAACAGAGACACAGAAGAAAGCCACAGAAAGCACTTCACCACGCAGTGAGGAAACCACTCATAATTCAACAGAGCTCTGATAAAATAAGAGCAATTCACTTTCAAATTCTCCCAACTTATCCTAAGAAGCTGTCAGCTCTTTCTCCTTCCCCAACTTCAAATAAATTATCTTCTTTAATTAAAAAAAAAAAATAACAACAACAACTGCCCGATAATGACCCCTCCTAAAGCCATGCATAAGCAGCAGGCCAGCCACAAGGAGGTCTGGCTTTGGCAGCAGCATTAGGTCCTCCTCTGTGACCCTGAGGTGCTGTGTGTGTGGTCACTGCAGGCCATGACCTTCCTCAGCTGATGAGCCGCGCCAGCTGCAGAGCACCACACAGTTGCCTACCACGTTCCAGGTGCTCCCCAGCTTCCCAGACACAGAGGTCCTCTGCAACTGGAAGGTGGCTGGCTGAGTCCACTGGATATGCAGGCTAGCCAAACCCCAGTCCAACTGCAGACCCCACGGCCAGGCTGTCACCTCGCTGAGGTCCGCAATGGTGAGGCTCATCCCAGCCAGCTGCTTCCACACAGGCTCAGCGAGGCTGAGGCTCAAGGGGCTCCCAGTTCGGATGGCAATGCCCAGCAACACTCCTGATCATGAAAATGAAAGACAGAAGCCATTTTTAGTGGGTGACAGAGTGCTTTGAGTTTGCTCCAACAGGCCCCAGAGCACCTGCTGTGCACTGAGGCCCCAGTGCCTTATAAACCAACGTTACACACTCAGGGGCCTAGGTCCACCCCTAAAACACTGTGCCTATGCCAAGTTCACAGTGTCCTCTGGTTTCTACTAATTCCTCAGTCTTTCCTTCCATGCATAACATGAAGTACAATGAAGCAATTCCCCTTCCCCTAAAGGCAAAGGAGAGCCAGAGCTTCTCCAAAAAGGCAGGTGCTCTGCTGAGGAGCAGCCGTGGGACCAAGACAGAGTGCCCTCAGCAGACACACAGAACCGAAGGACCCAAGGACCAGCACAGGCTCACCTGAGTCTAAGTCTCAGACATGGTTAGGAAGCACAGACATGGTATTTCTGATGTTCGAGGGCCAGAAGGCCCGAAGTCCTGTTACCACACCACCTCACAGCTATGTGCAGTGTGAGCCTCTGAAGGCTCCCGTTACCAGGCCCTGGGCCTGAGGCAGACTCCACACCACCCGCCTCACTGCACAACACCAGAGTCATAAAGCACATGTAAGAAAACAATTCTATAGAAAAAGGTCTCAAAAGCCAAACTAAGCATTTAAAAGACCCCAAAACATCTTCACTCCCAGGACAGGGGGCAGACCACCAAGAGGCCCACCCAGAAAGCGGAACATGCTGCTGTGCACGAGCGCCTTGGCGGCCGGGTTGAACAGGTAGCAGTCGCGGTTGGCCCCGGACTCATCCCTTCCATTGGGCGTCACGATGAGAAGCGGGGTGAGTCCGTTCTGCAGCTCCTCACAGATCTCTGCTATGGACTCGCTGTAGCCGCCTCCACAGTCATCCACAGACTCACCTGGAGGGATGAGACAGTGGTGTTTGGCCAAGCCCCTGTGGCCACCCCGCAAAGCTCAGCACCCTCACCTGGGGTCTGCCTTCTGGGCCACTCAGAGTGTCCAAGTACAACAGGGTCTCACCCACAAACTTGACCTTCCAGACGCGGTGAGGGAGGAGGAGGCTGTCAGGACTAAAGGAGCTCATCTTGGCGCACATCTGCCCAAAGACGGACTTGGTGCCGTCGGGGCCGGCCAACCCACCTTTACTTCTTGAGCGCTTGACCTGGAAAGGAGGAGGCAAACAGACAAGTGGCTACTGCAGCCAGAGAAGCCCAGAGGAGGATGCACCTGTGACGAGGATGCTGGCTCAAGCCTTGCACACACAGCACCGCCTGCCAGGAACCACGCACTCTCTGCAGCAGGCCTGCTCACCGTGTGTGGAAGATGTGAACAACTCCCACTTGTGGAGCCCACACTCTCAGGGCCCCTGCGAGCAAAAGCAGAGATGGGGAGGGCCCGGCCAGCTCACCCACAGCCTTGTTCCATAGGCCCTCACTCTCCCCCAGCACGAGCTGGGGTCCCCTCTTCCACCACTGCTTCCCAGGCACTGGTGACCATGGCCCGTACCACTTGGCACAGCACAGCCAGGGCTGGCAGCATGCAAACACACATTCAAATGGGGACCCATGATAGCACGCTACTTACTAGGAGCAAGGTCTTCACCTCCACCAGTGACCTCACTTTGTGGCCACTGTGGACTAGGACGGACTCTCAATGCTCAGGTGCGGGTGGAACACGCCCTCAGCCAGGACGGTCTTCCTCCCTCCTCACATCTCTGCCCCGCAGAGCCCCTTTCTCTGCTCATAGCTCTCATGCTAAGACCTGGACTGGTCATACCAAGGATGTCCCGTGCCCCAGGGCCAGTGAGGACTTGGCTCCCCTACAGTGCTCAGCCCTGGTGTGCTTCAGAAGTTCCTGGAAGCTTCGCCTCAGAGGATGACACATGAGAAGTGGGGGAAAAAATAGTATTTTTATGCTGACTTTTCCTATGAAGCCCTCACTACCTTAAACTTATTTTAAGCGAATTCTAAGTTAAGTTTAAACAGGTAATTCTCCTTATAGTGATTGCGATCGGGACTAAAAATACAAGAACGAGAAGAACTCAGATGAATTCTAGCTTTTAGGAGGCTCAGGAAGGAGGATTTCAAATTCAAGGCCAGCCTGGGCTACTTAGTGAGACCCTGTCTTAAAACACAAATTTGAAAAGGGCTGGGGACATACCTCCACTGGTGGGTTCAAGCTCCTGTACTGAAAAATACAGCTTCCCAGAGAAAGAACCTTCCTCCGAACCACACACAGAGCTACTTCCTTTCATTGCACAGCCACTCTAAGCTACGCATTAGTCCCAGGAAACTGAACTCCAGAAAGGAAAAGGAGCATGTCCAGAGTGTCACCGATGCCACAGCTTCCTGCCCCACCACTGTGCTGTCTCCCTCTGCGGGCTGAACCAACTCGCAGAGGGCACCCAACACTGGCTTCTCCCAGAACAGCCGCCACGGGACACAGATGCCACACCTGGAGGAGAGAAGCCTGCCCTGCTCCACCCGTGCAGGCACCATGCTGCTGCTCCAGCTTTCCCTCATGTTCTTGCTTGAGTTAAAGGCATCTCTGCTCCACATCTGGAGACACCGCAGAATCAGGAGAGGCCACAAAGCCCTGAACTGCAGCTGGTGGCTGTGCAGAGCGGGTCCCTGGTCAGTCCACATGCATACTGCCCGCCTCTGTAAAAGCCCTGGTAGAAATCTGCCGTTTATCCAGTATGCTCTTTCAAACATGCAGCAAACACCTATGTGACACAAGACTGGGGATATGAAGCCAAGAAGGAAAGGCAGACTCTTGGAAACACAAGACGAGAGAAACCAAGAAGTACTGCCGAGCCTGGCAGGGACAGTCGAGGCTTCGCAGGGCCTGCCAGCCCTGGCCCTGGGAGCCTGTGTCTGCTGAGGCCATCGCTGGCCCACGATGCCCCTGCGCCCTACACTAGGTGATGCGTGAGTCACTGGCTTTCCTTAACTTATAAAGTTTGTAATGGTCATCCAAGGTGGGGAAATAAAAGCTTTTTTATGAACCTAATTAAACAACCCATTTGTCTGTGGAATTGGCTGACTCTGATATCTGCTATTCTGACGTTAGTGGAGAGACCAGTTCTACCAATGTGGTCACATGCACTGTCCAACAAAGGACAAGCGCTTGATGTCTTAATTCAAAATGCCCTCAAGTATAACTCTGAGAAAAATTCCTAGTCATGGAATCAACATCAGGGTAAAAATCATGTGTTAATAAAAAGGTTCAGAAACAAAGGATTTGTTCTTCATGGCTCTGTTTCCGATCCAAGAGGCAAAGCCAATTTCATTTGTGTACTAAATGTCAAAGGCCACACACTATCACAATCAGTCACTGGGATTCCTCTTTAATTTTACTTAATTTTTAGAGCTGTCAGGTCTGCATACACACGGCAGCAGTATCGATTCAGAAATGACCTACTTGTCATTTCTTCTGAGGCAGCCTTAGGAACTCTGGCCAGGCCCGGCACTCAGGAGGGTGTGCTCCCAGCAGGAATGTGAACTCTCAGAGTCATAACTGCTGTGTGCCCCAAAGGCTTTGGCTACTCTACTGCCCTGAACTTAATCCAAGGTGGTGACTGAAGATGCCCAGAACAGCCCTACCTGTACCACGAAAGGGGGACCGTCTCCTAGCCCACAAGAGTAAACTTGGACACAGCCCTCAGCAAGAGAGCAGCAGACACCTGTGAAACACAGGTGACCCCACAGAATGAGTGTACAGCAGACATAGGATGGACATAAAGCAAACATGCACCCCTCCACATACTCAGATGGCCCAGGAGGAGTCCCCACTATGTGGGGGAAACAGAGCTGATTTCTGTTCTTCCCTCTTTTGCTTCCCTGGGTTATCTGAAAGTCATTCTCCTGTTGCAGGGAAAACCCCTACATTCCTATCTGGCAGCCTCCGCATCAGAGTAAGCACATACAGTACGTGCCAGGAGAAGGCAGCGCTTGCTGTGTGAAGTCCAGGTGCAAGGAGAGGGACCCCAGGTCCTCCCTTGCGCCTGCACCACCACAGCATCACTCTGCACATCTGGACTGGGTGAGCAGCCTCCACACATTACCTGGATTCGGTTCAGCTCCACGACAGGACCATGTTGACGATCTCGCACCATAGTTGCTTGCACTACTTTTCTAAAAGCCGCCTCCTAAAATGTGTTCAAGACATAAAGTTTAGAATCTGGTCGGTAAAACATCAACCAACAAACCCTGTCATTGTTTTGTTTCAGTTCTTCAGTTCCTGAAAGCCAGACTTCAGAAGAGAAGGCTCACAGCCTCTCTCTCAGGTTGTGAAGCCACAGAGGAGCAGCTTAGCACTGCTGCGAATGAGGCGGACACGTGGCCTGGGAGAGCTAGACCTGGACAGTGAGGGCCAGGGCCTGCATGCACCTCTCCAACACAGGGCTCCTAGGCCACATCACAAATCCATTAACCATGCCACAAAGCAGCAAAAGATCAAGGAGGCCTCAGGTCAAGCCAGATTAAGGAGGGAACATGCTGCAGCCCTACACTGACAGACACCTGATGTCCGGGATGAAGGTGGGCAGAGGTCAGAAGCAGGCAGCCACACCAACAGGAGGAGAGGGCTTCAGGGGCATCCCAGGAGGAAGACTCCACATCTCTTCCTGCTCCCACCCTCCAATCTAACCCTCATTACTCAGCACCCTCAGGCAGGCACAGATCCAAGTAAAACACACCTCCCTCTCTCATGTAGCAGAAACTGTTGCCAAATGGAAATAAAGCCAATCCTAAGAAAACACCTGTTTGGACAGGACTCCAAATCACTTAGGGCGCCTGCCCATTAGCTCAGTTGTTGGGGCCGGGGAGATAGCTCAGTAGAATAAGTGCTTGCCTGGCAACACAAGGGCCTGAGTTCAATCCCCAGTTCCGCAAAAAAATAAAATAAAAAATCATTTAAACTTCATTATAGCTTTAAGAATAGATCCCCCTCGGGTTAACAACTAAGTTAGCAAATCAAAATTGGAGAAAAGGAAGGGCTGCAAGGTTAGCCAACATTTTGGCCTTAGCCTTTCAAGGTCAGTGAAGACTCTGGACATAGGAGAACCTATACTGTTAACAACATGTAACTCAGCTGTGCTCCAAATTTTCTGATCAAGAAGATTATGGAGCCACAGAGAAATGTGTTCGATGATCTAAAGTGAGCCTGGGGAGAGTCACATGGACAGAAAAAACATTTTCTCAAGCTTTCACAGAGAGCAAATTGGTCAAGCAATGGCCGTGACTCATCCACATGTCAGACACTGACAAAAGGATGTACAAAAGGCA